AGCAATTAATTATTTAATACAGTTGCTTGCAAGCGCTCTACGTCATTCAGTGACAGTCGCTTTTATATTAAATTGAGCAATTAATTATTTTATTTAATCGCCAGTAGGTGCCCCAGATCATTGGGTGAAAGGCGCTTTTGTTATTAACTTTATCAATTAATTATTAAATACAGTTGCTCCTTAGCGCCTTGGGTCATTTAGTTATAAGCGCTTTCGTTACTGTATTAAGCAATTAATTCTAAAAAACATTTGCCATTAAGCATCACGGGTCTTTGGGTGATAGGCGCTTTTGTTATTTATTATTATATATTTGTTTAATAGATTGGCCAGCAAGCGCCCTGGGTCATTAAGTGATAGTCGGTTGAGTGATTTATTAATAATTTCTGATTTTATGGAGTGGCCTGTAAGCGCCTGTATTATTGGTTGATATAACCTTGTGTTATTTATTAATAATCATTTATTTAATAGAGTGACCAGTTAGCACCCGGGTTATTGTGTGATAGGCTAACTATCGGAATTAAGAGTGGAAAAAATCATATCTATTAATAATTGTATAATTCAGTTGTGAATAAGAAAAACAATAACACATGGTACTTACACTTTATTTAAACGTACGTTGTCGGACCGGCATTTGATCCTCTCTGGCCAAGCGGTAAGATGCTTGCCAGTTATACTGTGGGCTCAAGTTCGTGTCCTATTTAAGCCGAATTTTTTTTTTTTTCTTTAACTGTTGATATTTTAGGTAATCATTTTATTAATGCATAAATTAAGACAGTAATTGCCCCGGGTCATCAGGTAATAGCGCTATTGTTATTTATTAATAATTATTTAATCAATAGAGTGGCTAGTCATCGCTCTAAGTTACTAAGTCATAGGTGCTCGTGGTACTGATGAATAATTAGTTATTTAATTGAATGGCAAGTAATCGCCCCGGGTCATTGGGTGAAAGGCGATTGTGTTACGTACAAATAATTATTCATCTGATATAGTGGCCAGTAAGAGCCCTGAATTATTGGGCATTGGAAGCTTGTGCTATTTATTAATAATTATTTATTTGATACAGTGGCCAGTATGCGCCCTGAGTCACTAGGTGATAAGTGCTTGTGTTACTAATGAATAATTATTTATTTGATAGAGTTGCCAGTAAGCACCCTGGGTCATTGCGTGATAGGCACTTGTGCTATTTATTGATGATAATTTTTTTCGATCCAGTGGTCAATAAGTTCCTCGGGTTATTGGGCGGTAGGCACTTGTGTTTTTTTTAAATATTTATTCATTTAATAGAGTAGCCAGTATGCGCCCTAGGTTAGTAGGTGATAAGCGCTTGCGTTTCTGATGAATAATTCTTTATTTAATAGAGTTGCTAGTAAGTACCTAGGGCAACTAGGTAAGAGGCGCTCGTGCCATTTATTAACATATATTTATTTAAAAGAGTATTTAGTAAACACCCTAANAATTATTCATTCGATAGAGTTGCCAGTAAGCACTCTAGGTAACTAGGTAATAGGAGCTTGTATTACTGATGAAAAATTATTTATTTACATTTGGTATTAAGCGCTTGTGTTATTTATCAATAATTATTTATTTTACAGTGTTGCCAATATATAAGCACCCTGGGTCATTGGGAAATAGGCGCTTGTGTTATCCATTAATACTTATCTATTTAATTGAGTTGCTAGTTAGTGCCCTGGGTCATTTGGTGATACGCACTTGTGCTATTTATGGATAATTATTTATTTAACAGAGTGACCAGTAAGCGACGCAGGTCAGTAGGTGATCGGTGCTTGTGGTATTTAATAATAGTTATGCATTTAACAGAGTAGCCAGTAAACACCCTGGGTCACTAGGTGATAGTCGCTTGAGTTACTGATAAATAATTATTTATTCGGTAGAGTTGCTAGTAAGCACCTTATGTAACTGAGTAAATGGTGCTTGTGGTACTGATGAAAAATTATATATTTAATAAAGCGGCCAGTAAGTGCCTTGTCCTATTTGATTATAGGCACTTGCGTTATTTATTATAAATTAATCATTTCATAAAGTGGGCAGTAGGCGCCCGGGTCATTTGGGGATAGGCGCTCGCTTGATGATTTATAGTTATTTACTTTGTAGAGTTCCTAGTAAGCGCCCTAAGTCACTGTTTGATAAGCGCTTGTGTTACTGATAAAGAAATATTTATTTGATACAGTGGCCAGTAAACACTCTGGGTCATTGGATGATAAGCGCTTGTGTTATTTACTAATAATTTCTTATTTAACAGAGTGGCTAGTAAACACCCTAGCTCATTCGGTGATAGGCGCTTGTGTTATTAACAAAAATAAATTAAACAGAGTGGCTAGTGAGCGACACAGGTCAGTAGGTGATCGATGCTTAGTGTATTCAATATTCATTATTTGTTCGTACCAGTAAGCACCCTGGGTCATTAGGAAATAGGCGCTTGTGTTATTTATTAATATTCATCTACTGAATAGAGTTGCCAGTAATAGCCATGGGTCATTGGGTGTTTGGCATTGGTGTTATTTCTTAACAATTTTTTTTATTTAACAGATTGGCCACTAAGCGCCGTAAGTCAGTGTGTGACAAGCGCTTGTGTTATTCATTAAAAATTATTTATTGACTAGAGTGGCCAGTTAAGTCCCTAGGTCATCGAGTGATAGGTGCATGTGTTATTTTTGAATAATTATTTATTTGATTGAGTGGCCAGTCTGCGCCCTGGGTCACTAGTTGTTGTTTTCAGATGCCATCAAGATATGTTTAGCCATTACTTTGAATGCATCTTAAAAAATAAACTTTTATTCACGCTAAAACTTGATTAATGGCAAACAAATTTTGTATGAAATACATTTGCCACTTATGATGAGATATTTCAGTTGTTTAAATTATTGTATTAAAAATTAATCGAGTCATATTTTTGATTAGATGGACCTAAAGGTTCTCTGAGAAGACTACGCTCTCAACTAGCTGAAGATGGTTGCCCTGAGTCTCAAGTTGTATTAGCTAAACAATTGTTGGATGAATGTTGTGGTAGGTGATAAACAACTGTAAGCAAATTATTTACTAACTTGATTTTTTAAAAATGTAAAATTTCCAGAACTAGATGTTGACAAAGAGGAAAATGCCAAATTGGGTGTTTACTGGTTGACCAAAGCCTCAGAGCAAGGAAACTTGGAAGCCACAGATATGCTATGCAAATGCTTGGCCTCTGGAAGAGGAATCACTGAGCAGAATTACTATGATGTAAAAAGCTGCCTAGACATGTCTCAGGATGAAAAGCTAGCCAGAAGGGCTGCCAGAGAAATGTTCACAAAGTATGTACAATTGTTTTGTTTATCATAATCCATGGCTGAATCATAATAGGCAACGAATTTAATTCCATTTTGCAGTTTATCAAATGGCGAAGAATTCATCACAACCGAACAATTGCAAAGATGCATGAGGAACTTGGTGTTTCCTTCCACTAGTAATGATAATAAATTCAGATACGTAAATGGCAAAAGTCATCTTCAAAGGTCCTTGACTGGAGACAGTTGCGATCAAGATTCACAATCGGAGGATGATTCGACTCAGGACGAATCTTACAAAGAGAAAGAAAAAATCGAAGAAATACCCCCAGGTAAGACGTAAAAATGAATCATTACGGCATAAAATTAGTAACTCATTTGTTTAATTTTTTTCAAAAGACTGGTCGGAACATCAAGGCGAAAAAATAAGCGAGGCGGCCCTCGTATCTGCCGCTGCATCGTACGCGCGAGGCGCGCTACCAGTGGTCTCTCGAGTGATCTGTTTGGTGGAACCAGCTCAGATGGACCTCGATGCCGTGCCACTGTTGCAACGTCCCTTCGTCCACCCTTTAGCCTCTCTAAAGCGCTTTTACATCTGGCTAGTGGAAACTCTCGGTCACCGAAATTTACCTCTGCGCAAAATCTTCTTCACGAGTCATTTGCACACCTTACTCTTGATCCTCTTGCACGCGCTTCTCGGCGCCGAGAGCGTCGTGCTGTTCGTACCCCTGGCATTCTACTATCTGTCATTCGTCGTAATGATTCTCGCAACGTTCCAGATACTTCAACGAAAGCGCGAACTTTCTGATCTGAGGGTATGGTCGAGGCTATTCTTAAGCTACTCGGGCGGTAGTTTAAATCCCGAAGAAGCCGAGTACCAGTACTGTCGTAACNTGATAGGTGCTTGTGTTAATGTTTTATAATTATTTATTTAACAGAGTTGCCAGTATGCGCCCTGGGTCACTAGGTGATAGGCGCTTGTGTTATTTATTAATGATTATATATTTCACAAAGTTGCCAGTATGCGCCCTGGGTCACTAGGTGATAGGCGCTTGTGTTATTTTTTCGTAATCATTTATTTGATAGACTGGCCAGCATGCGCCCTGGGTCACTATGTGCTAGGCGCTTGCGTTATTGATTTTTAGTTATTTATTTTACAGAGTTGGCAGTATGCGTTCTAAGTCACTAGGTGATCGGCGCTTGTGTTACTGATGAATAATTATTTATTAGATAGAGTTGCCAGTAAGCAACCTGGGTCACTGGGTAATAGGCGCTTGCATTATTCATTGAGAAATATTCATTTAATAGATTGGTCAGTAATCACCCTGGGTCAGTGGGTGATAGGTGCTTGTGTTATTGAATAATAATTATTTATTTAATAAGCCTGCCAGTAAGCGACCGGGTCATTAGGGATAAGCGCTTGTGTTATTTATTAATATTAATTTGTTTGATAGATTGGTCAGTAATCACCCCGGGTCAGTGGGTTATAGGCTCTCGTATTGTTCATTATTACCTTTTTATTCCTTGGAGTGGCAAACGAACGCCCTCGGCAAGTCGGTGATAGGCGCTTGCGTTATTTATTATCAATTGTTTATTTTATAAAGTGGCCTCTAAGCGACTGACTTATTGAGTGATAGGCGCTTGTGTTATTTTTCAATGATTATTTATCCGATAGAGTAGCCAGTGAGTGCTCTGGGTCATTTAGTGATAGGCGCTTGTGTTATTTATCAATAATTATTTATTCGATTGAGTGGCCAGTTTGCGCTCTGGGTCATTGGCTAATAGGCGTTTTTGTTATTTATTAATCATTATTTATTTAATAGATTGGTCAGTAGTCGACCCGTGTCAGTGGGTGATAGGCTCTCGTGTTATTCATTATTAATTATGTATTCCATAGAGTGGCTAGTAAGCCCCCTCGGTTATTTGGTGATAGGCGCTCGCATTATTTATTAATTATTATTGATTTAATAGAGTGTACAGTAAGCGATCCAGGTCATTAAATAAAAAGCGCTTGTCTGATGGATTTATAATTATTTATTTAGTTATTTATTAAAGCGTTTAGTAAGTGCCCGAGTCATTTTGTAACAGGCGCTTGTGTTATTTATTATTATCACTTTATTTGATAGAGTGGCTAGAGTGCGCTTTGGGTCAGTTAGAGATAGGTGATTGTGTTAATTATTTATAATAATTTATTAAATAGAGTGGCCAGTAAGCGCCCTGGCTCATCGCTTGATCGGCACTTTTGTTATTGATGAATGATTATTTATTTGATAGAGTGGCCAGTAAACGCTCCGGCTCATTTAGTGATAGGCGCTTGTGTTATTTATTAATAATTATTTTTTCGATAGAGTGACCAGTAACCGCCTGGGTAAATGGGTGATAGGCGCTTGGGTTATTTATTAATAGTCATTCAATTGATGGATTCGCTAGTAAGCATTCGGGTTATGGTGTGATAGGCGCTTGCATTATTTACTAGTAAATATTTATTTTATAGATTGGCCATTAATCACTTTGGGTCAGTGGGTGATACGCTTCCGTGTTTATTATTATTAAGTATTTATTTCTTAGAGTGGCAAGTAAACGCCCTCGGTCATTCGGTGGTAGGTACTTGCGTTTTTTATTAATATTTATTTATTTTATTGTGTGGCCAGTAAGCTACTTAGATATTGGGTGATAGGCGCTTGTGTTATTTATCAATAATGATTTATTTGATAAAGTGGCCAGTAAGTGCCCAGGTCATTGGGTGCTAGGCGGTTGTGTTATTTATCAATAATTATTTATTTAATAGAGTAACTAGTAAGCGCCTACGTCATTGGGTGATTGACGCTTTTGTTATTTATTAATATTTATTAATTTGATAGAGTGGCCNGAGATAGGTGATTGTGTTAATTATTTATAATAATTTATTAAATAGAGTGGCCAGTAAGCGCCCTGGCTCATCGCTTGATCGGCACTTTTGTTATTGATGAATGATTATTTATTTGATAGAGTGGCCAGTAAACGCTCCGGCTCATTTAGTGATAGGCGCTTGTGTTATTTATTAATAATTATTTTTTCGATAGAGTGACCAGTAACCGCCTGGGTAAATGGGTGATAGGCGCTTGGGTTATTTATTAATAGTCATTCAATTGATGGATTCGCTAGTAAGCATTCGGGTTATGGTGTGATAGGCGCTTGCATTATTTACTAGTAAATATTTATTTTATAGATTGGCCATTAATCACTTTGGGTCAGTGGGTGATACGCTTCCGTGTTTATTATTATTAAGTATTTATTTCTTAGAGTGGCAAGTAAACGCCCTCGGTCATTCGGTGGTAGGTACTTGCGTTTTTTATTAATATTTATTTATTTTATTGTGTGGCCAGTAAGCTACTTAGATATTGGGTGATAGGCGCTTGTGTTATTTATCAATAATGATTTATTTGATAAAGTGGCCAGTAAGTGCCCAGGTCATTGGGTGCTAGGCGGTTGTGTTATTTATCAATAATTATTTATTTAATAGAGTAACTAGTAAGCGCCTACGTCATTGGGTGATTGACGCTTTTGTTATTTATTAATATTTATTAATTTGATAGAGTGGCCAATAAGCGCCCGGATAATCTGGTGATAGGCACTTGCGTTTTTTATTAATAATTCATGATTTATTAGAATTGTCAGTAAGCATCTTGGGTCAGTGGATGATCGTCACTTGCGCTTGTGTTATTTATTGTTATATATTTATTTAATAGATTGGCCAGCTGGTTTATTTGGTGATAGGTGCTTATTGTGTTGTTAGAACTTACGGGAATTTTACGATCCACGTTCGGTATTAATTTTTTTTGGCCTCGTGATTTTCCATGTCAGAGAGTTTGGGTCCGAGAGAATTTTCAAGTCCGTCCGGATCTATTTTTCAACACTGTTCTTAGCGCCAATCACACCATGTATTTTTGCACCATAATCGCGACTATTTATGTGCCGCCGCAAGCTGAGCTCTGCTTTGAAATAGAGCGCTAGTCAATAAGGGTCGAGGCACGACTGGGCTCTGGCATAGTCGGAATTGGTTGATCAGTGCCAAGCCATGGCTGGATTTTGTCTGCACTATACTCATCAGTCAATGAATTATATATGTTACCGTACAAGTTTGGGGTATAGTCTGTAGGATTCCGGGCTTGAGTGAAGAAACCCAAAGCAAATACAGATTTCATAGAGATACCTTTAATGTAGAACAACTTTATTACAAAGGTGACACCTTACCTGAAAAAGAAAGACGGAATTCCATGTGTGATTGCTTCTGTAATACCTTTAGGAAAGCCATGTGGCATGACATATGATATTACGTATGGCATTACATAAGGGGTTTTAGCTTGGTAACGCCATATGTAATTCCATTTGAAAAAACACATAGAATTACAAATTGGAAGAAGGAAAAAAATTTTGTCATCTAGAAATAACTGCAGAATACTGTAAAGCGTCATTAACTGTGAACACTTAGTGTTACCATCAGGATGCTCTCTTGAAAAAAACCATAAGGGTTAACCACATAAGAAAACCATACATAAAAACCATAAAGAATCATATGGTTTTCCTACTCCGTTTTCATGTGGTTTTCTGTCTCAAATCACCATGTGATTTAATAATGAAAACCATATGGTTTTCACATGCTTTTCTTTTAACAAAAAAACAATGTGTAACGCCATATGGCTTTGCTGAAAGTATTACAGAAGTATTTCTACATAGAATTCCGACATTTTTTTCCAGGTGGGACGGCTCAAACTCTGTAGGCACGTGTCGCAGCTTAACCCTATCCCAAGTTATGACGTCAAACATGACGTCATTTGTGATATCGCCAAATACGCCATTCATGATGACGTGAATGACATAACACTGACGTCAATGTGACGTCATTTACGACGTCTTAAAAGACGTACTTCACGACGTCTTAAAAAACGTCATTCACATACGTTGTCGATTAACAAAGGGCTATTTAAAAGCATTAGATGATCTTGAAGGTACTACCATCAGGATGATAACACCAGAACAGAGGGATTCGAAAAGTTTTTGAATTTAGAAAGTTTTTCCTATTTGCGAAAAAAAAAAGTTTTTTTTATTTAAAAAAATACTTGAACCCCGCGGTGTTAGTGTTACCATCCTGATGGTAGCACCTATAAGGCCATCAAATGCTCTTAAACAGTCCTTTGTTACACAACAAGCTATGTAAATGATGTCTTTCGAGACGTTGCGATGTACGTCTTTTGTGACGTCGTAAATGACGTCATATTGACGTCAATGTGATGTCATTCAAGATGTCATGAATGACATATTTTGCGATGTCATAAATGACGTCATAACTTGAGATAGGGAAGACTATACAAATGGAAGTAACTGTATAAGAGTACAAGAAGAAGGCTTGTAGCCGATGTAATGTATAACACTGCAAAAGTAGTAGGATAGGCGCTCCAGCTGTGGGCGCGAGTGAGAGAGAGATAGCTTGCGCCGATGCAGAAGATGGTTCTCGGGGGTAGCTGTTGCTTCCTGCGCGAGCGGCCTTTTTGGGCGCAAGGTGTCGCGCGTTGTGGACGGTGCTGCCACACAAGTAAGCAATTGGTCAAACTTCAGGTAATTTTGTTAACTATTGATTTATATGTCATTTATTTTTCATGCAAAGACATTTAGTTAATAACTATGTGATTTAAAATAATAAAATGGTAAAATATATGTAACTGCAGTTGAAAACTTTTTGTATTTTGAAGTGAATGTTAGTAAAATAAAATGACTGCTGAAATCTAAAAAGTTATATTAAGCAAAAATACAATAACACTGAGACTGTAAAGCACTTGCCGTTACAATATGTACATCTGATCGCAAAATATCAGAAAGCAGAGTAAGCTGTTATAAATAATTTTTATTTGCTTATATTTTCCTTAACTGACGAATTATGAAGCTAATTTCGTTATGAATGTGTTATTTACTAAATATTTAGCTTAAAAAGTTACTTATAATGTCTGTCACAATATGGTGGCTTGGGCGATTTTTATATCGGCTTGATCAAAACCTCTGAAATTTTAGAATTATGTAAATAAAGTATACGGAATTCATTTGCGATCAGAAAATATTAGGTACCGTACCATAGGTACAGTACCAACAGCCCAAGTCACCTTAATGTATGTCAGCATTCAAGTTTTCGCGGACTGTATCTATAGGACGCAATTTTGTATATAGTGTCGCAACTGTCTCAACTGTGCTAGTAGTATGTTGGTAACAATGCTTGTTGTATTAATTTCCATCTGAACCGTCTGAACATTTTATTGCGCGTGTTAGTACTGTGTCAGTGACTATAGATTCGTTCAAATCCCCCTTTGGTTTGGTTCAGTTCTACTTCTACACAATTTATTGATATACTTTTTCTCACAAAACATACATATATATGGCAGAACTTGTGACGTGGTAGCTAAAAAGCTATCACGTCACTATATACCTATATTTTTGGACAAGTCATCGGCTGCTACCGAGTCCTATAATATAATGTATATATTTGCTATACATATATATTTTTGACACATTATTTAATGTGTGTTCTCGGTGCCGCGGACTACGAGCCAAGAGGAAGGAGAAGGACCGAAGACAATGAGAGAGATTGAATGTGTGTGAAGTATGGTTGAGTGAGCGTATGTATGTAAGAGAGAAGGGAGATGGATAAGCTCACACAGAAAGAAATATTGTTGCTTTGCGGATCAAAAATTTTCTGCGCTTGCAGGTCTGGACACTCTTGATTGAAACTGTCAAATACCGTACTGTGCGAGTTAAAATAAAAACAATTTGCAAGTGGTCAAATATTTGCAGCGCTCACTTCGAAATTGGATACACTACAGCTCGACGCTAGATGGACTGTAGAGCGTTGAGAGTGGGGATGCCACACAGCTCAGAGGCAAAACTTCTGGCTAGCGAGTGAAGGTGAAGGCGAGATTTCAAACTATAGCGTATTTAATGTTGACTCGCGGAGGTAAAAAGTTTTTGCGAACGTATTTTATAAGGTATACAGAGCAACGTATACATAATCCATCGATAAATATAGAATTCCATCGTCTACTGTATGTATTTAGATAATAATACGTTTCATAATTTGTTATTATTTATAATTATAAGGTTACACACGAGACTGTATTGGAATACTTTTGTTTACAGTTGTGTTTTCAAAACTCAAAATTCAAATGCCTCATGGCGTCAGTGTTGTTTAGTTTGAATAACACTTAATTACTCATTTTTCGATAAGGAACAAACGGCATGCAGGAGTAGCTATGTGTCATTTAACTTATATTTATTTTAATTATTATTTTATTTTTTGATAGACTGTTTACGATTGAGTGTAACATTTGCCATATTAAAGGTTTTGAATTTACAACTTAATGTTGAACTTATTACATATGTGTGTGTTTGATAATTTACACTATGTCTCATTTACTTTTTGAGATATTGACATCTAAATACCATTCCAATTCAACATTAATAAACAATCTTGCGGCAACATGCACATTGCAATTTACTTGTTTCAAGAAATGGAATTAATTTTTTTTTTTTACATAATATTTTTAGCTCATTTTTAGTCTACTGGTTTTGTCAAAGTTATATGGCTATTTATAAGTCACTGAAAATGATCTGATCAATTTTTTGTTCGAAGAATAAATTTAAATATTGATTATCTTAACTCTAGCGAGTATTTATACGACGGGTTGTTGACCAAAAAACCTACAATGAGTTATCATCAAGACAACAGTCATGTTAATTATGTTCCCATCCCAAATACAAACATTAAACCTGGTAAAAATTAGTCACTCGTCTGTCTATATCATTTTTATTGAACTGATACAATTTATTATGACCATAAATATCAAGCTTTCGAGGTTTTATTGAACAATAATGCTACTGCATTGTACTCTCCAAAAAAAACCTCCCCCGATTAGACCCAGTTTTATAAGTTAAAAAAAATAGCCAGCATTATATTGTATCGAGGTACGAAATATAGTATATACTGTATAGTTATTGCTAGAATTACGCTAGAAGTGCTTCGTGTACGTATTCATTTAGATAGATAAATAAAAAAACAAAATATGGCTTAATTTAATTTTTTCTTTCCTACATTTAGACCAGTTTACAAAAACTTTACAAACATTATTTTATACTTATTACATGAATTTAACATATTTTTGCATTAAGACTTCTTTTATAGTTTAATTTTACGAACGACGTAAAATTCAATTAATGTTAATTTCCCCCTTTGTAATAAACACTAATTGAATTTTTATATTATAATGTATGTAGAATAAAAATAAATTAGCGAACCTATTATCTAATTGACTTATTAACTAATATGATCCAACGTTCAAAATGCTACGGCTTGAAATCTTGCTTTCACTCAATAACCCGAAGTTTCGCCTCTCAGGTGCCAAACTCTGAGCTGTGGCGTCCCCACTCTCGACGCTCTACAGTCCATCTAGCGTCGAGCTGTGGTATATCCAATTTTGAGGTGAGTGCTGCTAATGTTTGACCGCTTACATGCTGTTCTCAATCTTGCCTGTTAAAGTTAAACATTCGAAGCAAGACAAGTCAGAGTTACTCGTTCATGAGCTTGAAGGCTTCTGACATCTAGTAGTCGCAATGCTTCTGAGCTTTAAGACGTTGAAAACGCTTTTCGGGCACGATGCGTTGGGAACAAATCAAGGGCCAGTTCGTCGCGTCGAGGACTTAGTTTTGGAAACCACCAACGATTTACCGGGTTTTAGGAGCGTTGGAGGTTGTGAGATGCAAAGGGAGTGGCGTGGGCATCTATGCAGACTTACTGCATAGCGCAGTCAGTATCGTCCGAGACGTCATAGAGAGCAGAGCGTAGAGATCAGATTCGTGAGTTACCGGGAAAGTGACATGTGAATGGGATCGAGGGAGAGAGTTGAGTTGAGTTGAGTTGAATTTATTCAATTGACAATGGACTCAAGGTCCTACAACGCCGAGGCATAGTATATATATTATAAAAAAAACAAAATGACTGAGCTAATACAATGGCATTAGCCTAACAAAAAGAGAGAGAGAGAGAGAGACTAGAACCAAAAGGTCAGACTTGGGGAAAGAGACGAGAAAGGAGTAGCCGCCGAGCGACCTGTCGAGAGTTGACCGTGCAGCCGGATTACCGCGACGATCAGGACGAGCTCCAGGTAGCATCAGGTGGTCGTGAGGATAGTGAGAAGGTAGGTGTACTGTACGCTAGGTGGTACACCGAGACAGAGCGTTGAGGACGACCCGTAGGTGTGGGAGTGAATGTGTGTGGGGTTATTGAAGGATAGGGTAATTAAATTGAGTACGAGGTGTAGCTGAGGTTGCGTGTGTAAGTGTATGTATGACATAGGTACCAGCTGCTGTTCACCAGCCCTAGCAGAGTTAGGCGTAGAGGATGACTGGGAGTCATGCGTACGAAGACGTTGACTCCAATATCAGTGTGCCAATAAATAATATATAGAAAGAGAGGAAGTGTAGAATTTGAGAGTGTGTGGAGGAAAATAAATAGCGGGGGTATGCTGTAAAGTCTATAAACGTGATAGTGCTTTTTTATAGATAGTGCCCACCTCTCCTTTCGCCTTTTTAATTTTCTTTCAGGAGTGTTCGGCGTTTCCCAGCCGGACACCTGTGGTCTAACTCCCGAAGAAGAGGTATCCAGTGAGTAGGGACAAGATAAGCAAAGTAAGAGAAGAGATTTTGTGAGAGAATACGGGACGGCTATTTATCTGCTGAAAAATCCTCGTCACAAACTAAAAAAAATCAGATTTTGTTTTGTTCTGCCATACATGGGAATAGCGATCTAGCAAGCTTAGCTCAGATGTATATATTTATTTCTAATCACATTTTCTGTATATCTATGTACATGATTCTAACCTGCTCACTGTCTATTGTCACGTCTAGTGACGTCTATCCGCAGTTGGTAACAAATACCATATGGTGTTCGTCACCTAGCGACGGCACCCATAAGTCGATACCACCGCATGCTCGGTCGATCGGGTGCTCACCAGCTATTCCCACTTTTTAACTCCATCCCCGCCAAATTCAACATCTGGTTGACGCCTGTAGCTGCACCTTTTTTCAAAGAATATGTTAATCAAATTTACCTCCACTCCTTGACTCTCCACCAGTCTTACCCCCAATTATCGATTCGATTTAGGGTTTAAATAGAACCGTGCCCTGCTAGCTCGTCCTCTTTCCTGGGAAATCCGTCGACCAACAAGCAAGTAGCCGGTATTAACTACAGCGAGTTATATTATTAAACGTCCGATTGTCTAAATTATCATCATAATATTTGTGATCTAATAAAGCAAGTTTTGCTAACAATTGAGCTTTTCCTTTCTTATAATATATTACCAGCTTAACAAACTATTTACTTCACTGGCCAACCCAGGAGAGCTGTCAGCTGCTAATCGTCCATTACTCATAAGGGTACTGGTAAATTACTTTTAATACTTTAACTTCATTACAAACACTGCTAAACACAAACGTATTTGCTGTCCGTGCACTGCACGCTGCATTCAAATTCTCGTGCGCTAAAGTTACGTCGAAGAGCTATGACGTAACACTATACTATGTGTCAAAACATGATTCAGCCTATAAGCTTTCGATCTAAAATGAAATATTGTGACAGTTAAATAATTCCAAAAGTTCAATATTAATCATTTTAACATTCCAAAAATATTTTTTTACTAAATATATGAATTGAAATTTCAAACTGCCTCTCATTTTTCTCGGCTGTAGTCTCTCCTCCCTGTTGCCCTCTCGAGTTTGAACTATGTTGGTCGCCATTCCCTTCGGTTGGTTTTGAGGGAAAAAAATGCATGTTGTACGAGGCAAAATGGCCTACATGTTCCAAAATGCTCTCGCTGATGCAACGTACATACAAAAAGCAGAAAGTCAAAACTTCTCCGAATTCGTTTGATTTTCACGAGCTATACCCACCTGAAAAAGAAAGACGGAATTCCATGTGTGATTACTTCTGTAATACCTTCAGGAAAGCCATGTGGCATTACATATGGTTTTACGTATGGCTTTACATAAGGGGTTTTAGCTTGGTAATGCCATATGTAATTCCATTTGAAAAAACACTCATAGAATTACAAATTGGAAAAAGGAAAAAAATTTTGTCATCTAGAAATAACTGCAGAATACTGTAATGCGTCATTTACTGTGAACAAGTAGCGTTACCATCTGGATGATAACTCGAAAACAAGGGGATTCAAGTTATATGTTAGGAATAAATTAAATTTTTTTCTATAGAAGTAAAATCAGCTGAACCCCCTTGTTTTGGAGTTATCATCCCGATAGTAAGACAAGTTGTTAACTGCAAATAACTTATTATGGTATTTTGCAGTTATTTCTAGATGATAGAAATTTTTTTTTTTCCAATTAGTAATTCCATGTGTTTTTCCATATGGAATTACATATGGCATTACCAAGCTAAAACCCTTTATGTAATGCCATATGTAAAACCATGTGTAATGCCATATGGCTTTCCTGAAAGTTTTACAGAAGTAANCATATGGCATCACCAAGCTAAAACCCTTTATGTAATGCCATATGTAAAACCATGTGTAATGCCATATGGCTTTCCTGAAAGTTTTACAGAAGTAATTCTATATAGAATTCCGACATTTTTTTTTAGGTGGGTATATATACTGAGAGGAGGAGAAGAGGACGCCAACGGACAACCAGCTGAGCTGCAGATACGCAGCAGCGCCAACGAGAAAGGACAGGAAGAATGCAAAGGCAACTACCGGGACACACAGTGGCTGCTATGTCGAGAGTAACTGCAAGGGGAGATACGTGGCAGCAACAGCGGCGGCCGCCATTGCTCAAGCAAGAGATCGTGAGTCAGTCTGGAGTAGAGCCTCGAGCTGTACGCTTAACTGCGAGCAGCGAGAGGTTTTGCTAGTTTGCGAGTTTTCGTGGCGAGAGAAGAGTTTAAGAGAGAGAGAGAGAGAGAGAGAGAGAGAGAGAGAGTTGTCGAGGGGGTGTGTAGAGTGTTGAGAGAAAAGAGAGAAGTGTGCGCGCGAGTCTAGCAGCTGCTGTGTTCTCCCCGAACGACGAGGTCTCCAGGTCAAGGACTACGGAAGCCACTGAGACAAGACGAAGAGGGTAAGGCCGTGGTCACATGGAGAGCGTAACACGTACTGCGTAACTATTTGAGCCCATAAGAGTGAGAGAGAGGTAAAATACGCGAACCTTTCTCTCACTCTCATAGGTTCAAATGGTTACGCGGTACGCGTTACGCTCTCCATGTAACTGGGGCCTAAGAGAGAAGAGAAAGAGCGAAGCCGTAGGACGAACGACCCGCTCGAGGACCCCAGACAACATCACGCTGGGTTGGACTCGTGGACGTTTGACCAGGAGGTGAGGCTAGAGAGAGAGGGAGTGTATAGTGTAGACAGTGCGAGAGAGAGATAGAGTTGAGAGAGAGAGAGAGAGAAGTAGCGTGTGGGTTGACGAGACGAAGTGTACAAAAGACCACTTGGTGCATGCTTAGGAGTGCCGCCATTGTTTACGCGTTTCGTTGTGTGTGAAGGTAGAGAGCAAGAGCGAGCAGGGTAGAGAGAGAAAGAGAGAGAGAATATAGTGTTGTGCGGGATTGAGGATGGAGTGTGAGTGTGTGCATAGTAGTGTGGATCTAGGACGAGCAGAAGCTATTCCTGGTCCAGGACGAGCCGGAGGTGGTGGATGTGCGCTCGCGGCTCGCATGGTGCGAGGCGGAGATGCTGCAGTGCAGTCCAGAGGACGAGGTGAAGCGTTGTGGTGTGGATGATGGTTTAAGGAGATGCTGTGTATTAGTGTAAGGTGATTTGAATAAAGGAATAGTAAACGGTATTTGTTTGTGTGTTAGTTAATAGTTCTCCCCGTAGAACGAGAGAACTCCCCCGCCAATCCCCCTTTTTCAGGAGACGAAACACACGAGGCAAGAGGGACAAAGGTGACGTACGTGATCAAGATTTGTTAATGCTGCGTCGGCACCTCGTTTTATTTTCAGTTGCACCTTTTCATGAAGAAACAGTGTTACAATGTATTGTTACGTCATGGCTCTTCGACGTAACTTTAGCGCGCGAGAATTTGGATGCAGCGTACAGCGCGTGGACAGCAAATGCATTTGTGTTTAGCAGTATTTGTAATGAAATTAAAGTATTTAAAGTGATTTGCCAGTACCTTTACGAGTAATGGATGATTAGCAGCTGACAGTTCTCCTGGGTTGTCCAGTGAAGTGAATTGCTTGTTAAGTCGGTAACATATTATAAAAAAGGAAAAGCTCAATTCAATTATCAGCAAAACTTGCTTTATTGAATCACAAATACTATAAGGATAATTTAGACCATCGGAAGTTTAATAACATAACTCGCTGTAATTGAAGCCGGCAACTTATTTCTTGGTCGATGGATTTTCCAGGAAAGAGGACGAGCTCGTAGGGCGCGGTTCTATTTAAACCTTTAATCGGATTGATAATCAAGGGTAGGACCGGTGGTGAGTCAAGGAGTGGAGGTAAATTTGATTAACATATTCTTGGAAAAAAGGTGCAGCTGCAGGTGTAAGCCAGCTGTTGAATTTAGCGGGGGTGGGGTTAGGAAGCAGGAATGGCTGGTGAGCACGCGATTGACCAAGCGTGCGTTGGTATCGATTTATAGGTGCGGTAGCTAGGTGACGAATACCATATGGTATTTGTTACCGACAGTGGGTAGATGTTACTAGACGTGACACGCCCTCCTTAAGTTCTTACTCGCCGGGTGAGTTCGTGTCCGGTAAAATCGGCTCGCGTTTTACAGATATGTTTTACATAATTTGAATAAATCTAGGATTACATTTGCATGGAATATTAGTATTTATAGTATTAGTATTGTCTTTACATATTAGTATTTCATATTACAATGTGAATTGATAGCTTACAATTATCTTATTTTCTAATTATACAGTAAGTGATGTGCGGTGTTTCTTATAAAATTATTTATTATTTTAATTTTTTTTTATTTATCAGCTAGAACTGTACTTAAAGCTAGCATTCAAGCAATCGAATTTTTTTTTTTGCTATCGGGAATGCGGTCAAGTTCAATTGTCGGTACGATTTCTTAAAAATATGCTTACAGTAGATTACGATGGTATTAGCTTATTGGAGTAAAGAGGCAGCAATAATGACATACAGGCGGGATGGTAGGAGAAAAGAAAGGAGGTTATCGCTGGACTACTATGTTGAAGTCAAATTTGTTCGAAGTGGACTCACAGTAACGTCAAACATCATTATGTAAGTTCCAGTGGTGTACTGGGTTAGAGCACTCAAACTGGCATCTCGCAATGGTGTCGTCTCCATTACCTTAGAAATGATGCATGGTACATGCGCAGCAGTCTTTCCAGGGTTTAATACCAAGGAGACAAAGTTTGCATCGCTGAGGAGTTACATGACGTTCGTAACCCTTTCCTTCTGATGGAAACCGCTTTAAAAGGCCGGCGTATGTTTTACCAGCTGTACTGATCGTGGCTTGCTCTCGTTCACGGGTTTTGGCTCGATCCCATTCGGGGCGTTCTATGAATTTTCTTACTTCACGATGCTGAAGGCTGCTGTTTAAGTTTTTAAGGGTTACCTTGACTGATCGCGTTGCTTAATGTTTAATGGTGATTTCGGAAAAGAATTCGGAATTGTCCAGTAATACATTTATCACCATATCTTCGATGAAGCTATCCGAGTATCGTTTGCAAGTGTTGTTCAAAGGACGTATTTGCCTCACGCCATAGATGTAGAGAGCTGTTTCAAATGAGATTTCTCCCGCTTCCAGCTTTTGTGCAATGGTCGGTTTCCTGCTTGTATGTGTGCAAGGCTGGCTGCGCATGGGTTGGTATGTGACAAGTGATAATAAATGTCACCCCCTCTAGTTAAAAAAGTCGTCCCGACATTTTTTTAGCGATGGTTTTCGTGGATCTCCCCAACAAATATCCAGCGCTTAGTATTAGTATTACAATCCATGGGTCCACTGATGCGATGCTAAGTGGATTAAAAAAGAATAAGTAAGGGGTCAATGTGCGGATGGTGGGATTTGAAAGTGGCGTACATATTATTACGAAGGGGAGAAGGTTTTAGTGATGGAGAAATGGGCTACATACATTATTGTGTATACATTATTATTAGTACACTTAACATATATATGAAAATTGTCGTCAGAGGGTTACAATAGCGCTTCATCATACATGTTTTTTTGTTAGTGGTGTTCTGCGTATCTCTTGTTTTGTGTGTATGGTTTTAAAGTTTGTCAATTTTTTTTTTTTTTTTTTTTTAACACACACATAGATATATATAACTACGTTTTATTTTGTTTCCTGTGAAGAAAGAAAAAAAAGGAAACATTCATTTTAATTTTCTAAATTATCATCATCTAGTTCTGGTGGATTAATTATAACTGCGCTGAGTTTCGGGGGTCCTCCACAGCTCCAACAATACTTTTGGTTCGTCAATTCCCTGACGTGATCTTCTATGGTGCACTCAAAGATGCACCTGGTTTGAATGCCCTCTAGTCTGTAGTTAATGAACCGGTGGTAACATTGTCTGCATGATCTCCAGACTGGTAATCCGTCACCGCAATCTTGGCAATCGCCAAAGTTAGGTGAGTTTGCGAGGCTGTCTTTACATCCGAGGTTCGTTGTTTCTAGAAAACCTTTATAGGTTATTTCACGATCATCCGCAGCTGCTTCTTGCCGGCAACGAAGCTCGTAAGCATCGTTTCGTGGATTTCCGGATAGCATGTTTATCTCCCGATGCACGAACTGGCTGTTAAGCCCTCGTTCCATTGCATTGTTTAGAGCAAAAGGCTTCGCCTGGCGTCTCGGACTATCTTCCTGAAAGACTCATGTTTCCACAGGAGTTCGTTCACCATGAAATAAATCTTGTTTTTAAACGCCTCCATCAGCAGATTCTTTTCCTCGCGATCGAGTCGTCTCAAACCATACTTGAGGACCCAAAGAAGCTCCTGGCTCTGATATTTATCTGTGAGCGTATTTTTGGTGTTGGTTCTCGCGGATGTTGGATTCTTCTTCCTGTTCACTGCTTTGGCCTCAATCCCTCTTCTTTGCTCGTACCCCGACGCAGCCATTCGTGCCAAAATCCAGAACGCTAACATCGTTAGCACGATTATTACCAAGATTTCGGACGTCAGCGTACCTTCGGTCAGGATCGTAATTGGAGCCATCTTTACGAGTAACAGATAACGGAGTTGAGGACTAATGGGTACTACAAGTCTGAGAGACTCAAAAAAATGATGAGAAAAATTGGTTGTGCTCGCGTTTAAATACCGTTTGGGACTCCCTTGTTTGCATGTTGTGCAAAAGGAGCAGGCGTGGCAAACTTTGCTTTCTTTACATCAATTGGATCTGCGAAAAGATGGTCTTGACTTCAGGGAAATTTGGAGCCAATGGTTTGGCTTCTGGAAAATTTTATTAGACGACGAGGGTATTGGGTGTGCATTTCGGCCACTCCCATTTTTAGGATTTTCTTTTTTTGTGAAATTTGAAATCTCGAGTGGCCATCACAGTGGGAGGTGTTGATGTTATCGTCATAGAGTCATTAGATTGTCTTTGCGAACGTTTGAATAGTGCACTGCCTTTCCTGTGCCTGCTTCTATGACTGTGACTCGTTTCCCATTATTATGTAGGGATCCTATGCTGTGCGCAACTCGTATAGGCGGAAAGTTGGGGACATCGTAAAATTGTTCTGTCCTGTTGGCTGCGGGGTTCATATTATTTTCTGGAGTGCATGTCGGGCCTTTGACATCGCAGCGAAAATCGG